CACACACACACACACACACACACACACACACACACACACACACACACACACACACGTTTGTTTTCTATCCTCATGGGGACTTTGCATTGACTTACCCTAAACCAACTCAATTCACCTTAGTCCTAACCCCCAACCCAAAATTGGATTTATAGGGCAGCTCATTGTTCCCCATAAGGACTACTGGACTTGACAAGGTAGGTGTGTACAACAGAAGAGGGCCTAAAAAGGTAACAAATACAAGTACACACTACACTCACCAGGATGCTCCTTTAGGATTTATATTTTGCAGTTTCAGCTCTGTGGTCGATATTTATGAACTACATTAGTGCATTACTGAATGTATAGCTGCCATCAATTCTTTCCTCTGAGCCACTGAWACAGAACCGTGCTCCAAACACTCGACAGGGATTTAAACTGGGTCCAGTAATGTGCTCCGGTAATGTACCTGGGAGACGGAGCAATTATCTGCTGGGCSAAATGCTGCCCGCTAGTGGCCTAAAATCAAACTGCAGCTTTCAGCGTCAAGTCACCAACGGAAGGAAAACACAAGACCTCATTTAAAGAAGGGGTCTARCATCTTTAACAAAACAAAAACCAAACACCATCTAATATCATCATTACACCATCTTGTTTATGTTCCAAAAATGTCACCAGACATCAGATAAAAGGGGCCAGTAACAGGATGAGACAAACTCTTTAGACTTTAGCCTAAAGGTCACCGAGTGAGACAGCAAAGGCTATTAATTAAAATGTTTCTAACACACTTCAAACTGCTTAAAATGCCTCTCAGTTATGACAAGCCCAGAAGAGCCGCTGACTGCTGTAAGGATTTCATCTCTTTACAAATATGAGTCGACAAGATAATGAGAAGGATCAGTTTGACCCCTCAGGCTGTGGCTGATTAACTGAGGAAAACAGGTTATTTAGAATAAAGACTGGGGGAAAAAAACACGAATAAACAAAAAAGGAGGAATACAATTATAAAGCAACTTAAACTATAGGAGAAATTGTTTTGTTTGTGTGTTTCTGAGCAGCAGGAGTGAGACGTTCGTGGGAAGATCACGCCACAGAGGGAGAGACGGTYATTTAATTAGCAGCAGGGTTTTAATCACGAAGCAGCGATTCGAGCAGTGAAAGGKTTTAATTAGTTGCCAGTGACTGGACTGAAACACAGCAAAGCTGCCTGTAGTGGACACTGGGTGACGAGGAAACGCGCAGAGGAGACTGTGTGGCCTTAATGGATGTGGAGGACAGAGATGTGAGCAGCTTGAGWGGCGATGAAGAGGAGGCAGGGCTGCGTGTGAAGATGAGCATGCTGGAGGGATGAGTGGGGCCGAGGAGCGGAGCGTGACTGGCTCATCGAGACAAGCTGAGCGGGGCTGAGAGCCTTTAACAAGACGTTGTGAGCTAGGTGTCCCTGACAAAAGCTCACAGTATTAAAAATGYCATTACATCACAGACATATCACATAAGATTTATATCACAAAAAGTGTAAGCATAATGCACGAAACTAAAAATAATCCTTGAGATTTTTATCCCAAATTGCAAAACACACTCGCATCAGATGCAGCTCCCCTCTGTGTGACGGCCTCCAGAGGCCTACGCTCAGTTTCTGTGTTTTGTTCAGGCCGACATGTTGGACTCACACGAGCTAAACCGCAGCAGATGGAGGTCACTTAAACATTTTTTTTCTTATTTCATATAAAAATACCCTCATTGCATCTTAAAAACCCAAACAAATTTTTTTAGCTGTACAGACTAAAGCAGAGTTTACGTTCTGACCAGGCAGAAATACTGTAAAGAACTTATTTTTGCTGAAAATACATGCTCAACAAGTACATTCAGCAGGTTGTGTTTTGAAACTGTCTGGCCTATATTAGGTGATGAACCAGGTGAACACCGTTAAAAACGGATTAAAAAACTCACTCAACTCAGTAATTGCTCAGTCTTGCTCAAGTGAATAAAAATATTGGTTAAAAAATAAGGTGYGGAAGATAAGAAGGTAAGAACAACTCAAAATTAGGAATGTGTTAGCAACTCAGGTGTCACAAATATCATCAATGTTTGAAAAAAAAAAACCACAACAACAAAAATGTGAGATTTTGTTTCTTTTTTTCATTAAGAATGAGTTTTTGTTCGAACACTGTGAGCCACGGTTGGTGCTGAAGCAGAGGGTGAAGCAAAAGGATGAAGGGCATTATGGTGAAATTAACGTGTATAAAGAAAAACCTGAATGTTTATTCAAAGATGTAAAATTTATTACATCACATCACTGTGGCCCATTCACTCACAGCCTCTGTCTGATGGCCCAGATCACATGTTTTTACAGTGTTTACAGAAAACCTGGTCACACCCAGGATATGATATCATGGTAAACAAGGAAGTAAATTCTAGAATCAACTGAAAAGACTTGTTGATTTCGCTCACTGTTTAAAGTGAATGATCACAATCAATAAAATGTGAATAAAATAAAAGTGTATGTATGTAAATTCAATTATCAGTCACAAAATATTTTACACATTTAAAGGGGCATTATCATGTAAAATCAACTTTTTTGAGTTTTATATCATGTTATAATGTTCTCCTCTCATCAAAAACATGCCCAGAGTCTTGCTTTGACTCATTCATGTTTAAGAAATCCTGTAGTGTCCTGAGGCAGCCAGGCAGGGGAGCAAAAACAACCGTTTGGGTCTAGAACCACCTTTTGGGTCTAGCTCCTCCTCTGGGCTGTGTCTCCAAGCTCACAGAGCACACACACCCACCTGGCCCCGTGTTGAAATGGGCGGGACAGAAGCGGAAGGAGAAGAGGCCAATTTCAAGGTGTTTRGAAACAGATATGWTGAGAAGTCAAGTTTAYTTTYTATTTAAACACATGAACAGYGTTTTCATAACAACTTAAGATGACAAAGTTTCTTTATTATGGTACAGAAGAGGGCTGTTAAACTAGCAGCCCGCGGGAAAGTTCGGCSCRCCAATTGGTTCATTCATCTCTTAAGCCCAAACCCCTGGTTTTCTAATTATTCTAAGTTATTTTAGKTAGACATAGACATGTTTGGTATTAACAGAAACGTCGGGATCTCGACTACAAGCTGGTAAAAACCATTTCCATAAACACTCAAGACAGTTAAAACTACAAGCAGTTGAAGATAAAACTATGAAAGTGAAAATAAAATTGGCTTAAAAATTTTGTAAGTCAGAGATGTTAAAATAATATTTGTGTCAAATAGGTGACATAATGTGTTCTCTTTGGTTTTGATTTTGTTCAATTATCACTACTTTTATAGGGTTCTGTATGTTGTATTCATGATTAAATGCAGCAAAAATAAACTAATTCAAAAGTAACAGATCTTTGTACTTGGTTTATTTACATAATAACTTTAATTGCTGGATGTTTGGTCCCTCAGCTGTTGACTTGCAGTAACTGTGGCCCCCGGAGCAATTTAGTTGAATAGTTCTGCAGAATTTAAATATATGCCTGAGAAACACATAATATTGCCCTTTTAAGTTTATTTTATGTTGTATTGTGAGTAAAAAGCAGAAATTTGACATTACACTCATATCATRTGTGATACAATCTAAAAAAGTGCTGATTAACATCTTGATTTCTTCAACAAAGTTGAATTGTTGTTGTGTTTAACATGAAAAATGTTTAAAAAATTGACACTCTTTTGGTTGGCCTAGCCTGGATGAATACTTTTGCCTTTTTCTCCAAACTCCATGTTCGTTTTCTGATGTTTTGGCTGATAAGTTACAAATTAATGATTATTATTAGACAGAAAATCACTTCAGAATTGACTTGTCTAACCCTTATCATTAAAAATTAATAATAAAAGCAGCTGTGCACATTGCAATCTTTCACAATATCTTTAAAAATAGTCTAAACATTCATCTAGAAAGAAAAACAAGCGATACAGAAAAGAGGTCAAAAACTAGAGATACRTAAATATGAAAGGCAGAGAAAGAGGGTGACATGAAGCTAAAATAAGGAGATCCACTCAGCCARCAGGAAGTAAAACGTGTTCAGGTTGATGAGGATGAAGCAGGACAGTCTGCTCTGACACACTGCAGCCGTCTGAACTTCAGCTCTCCAACAAACAAGCAGGAGGACAGGAGGTGCGGCAATTGTCACAGGAGAYAATTGTATTTTTGTTTCACACTGACAGGTTTATTCAAAACTGTCCATTGTTTGCAGTTTATTGCTTTAACAGGATGAGGTTTATTAAGCTAATGACATTTTTATTTGTGTTTCAGTGAAACATCTCATACATGGATTTTTGAAACTCTCAAAAGATAGCAACCGATATCAACGCAGAGGTGTGGACAAATGTCAGTGTATTATAAAAAGGTAATAAAAATGATGACCTTTGTCTTTTAATCTCGACTGCAGGAGAAACATATGAACAAAAATCTCAGTTTAAGTTCGCAAGGATCTGAGGAATGAACTGAAGATTATGTGTTAAAATTAATGAAGGCAAATTTAGAAAAAAAAAGAAGAAATAAAATATGATTTGTTTCTCTTCATCCCAGTAGATCCAGTGGGTGGAGACTCTTCCTCAATTTTATCTTTTCATCTTATTAATAAAAAAAAACTGCAAACAGATTTACTGGCTGTTTTACTGAACATCATCTTTTCTTTTTGATTTCTGTCATGAAGCTGTTCAAACACTTCATGTTCAGCTGATCTGAGTGYAAACTATCAGTGATCACCTCTCCCTGCATTTTTCATGCTTTAATGTTGCTATTTGTCCTCAGTTTGTGTTTCCTTTTAGAACCATTTTTGCTTTTAATATCATACTCCCCCTCACAAACCCCAACATTCTCTCTCATCACCTCACTCTGTCCACAACAAACTGAGTTTAAAACTGAAATTTGAACAACTTCACTCCAAAAACATATTTTAAATTAAACAGCAGATGAGTCAAATTCAGTTTTCCTCCTTCTAAGAGAATTTTCTGTAAGTGAAATCAAAATATCTCTATATGCTGCAGTCACACTTATGCAGCTRCAAAATATAACTTAAAAAATAATAATGTAATGTGTTGTACTGACTTTATTATTTTTATTGTCATATTCAGGTAGCCACAGCTGTAAATTATATGGATAAGGGATACAATTAGGTTATTTGTGCACATAAAACACAATATCATAAAATAAATGAAAGAAGCTTCAAACCAGTGTTGGCTCAATATGTCTGACATCAGTTTAGATGAACTTAGAATAAAAACATTTTGTCAGAATATAAAAGCATTAATGCAGGTTAAACTTTGTTCTGTTCTGTTTTATAGCACCTTTATTAAAAACCTTTTGAATGTGAGACTTTCTGYCTTCAGTGGTGCAGTGCATCAGCAGCTCTGTTCTTCGAGGCGCTCAGACTCTGCAGCCCTCAGTTAATGCTTCGGGCTGCTGTTCTGCCTGCAAAAATCAATTAAGTGACTAAATAGGCCATTTACAGCAGCTCACCAGTGAAAATATGAGTTCTGCTTGTGGTGCAGCTGTGCTTTGAACAGGATGATACAGTTCAGTTCTGTTTATTTTGTTATATGAGGACTCGATCTGGACAAATTTACGCAAATCTACATCTTCTGGAGCATGTTTTGGACAGAAACCCAACCCTCCCGGCTCTTGATCTGAAAATTATTTCATATCTTCTCAAACGGGGTGGGGGCAGGGCGCTGGGGGACCCCCCCCCCCCCTCCCCGGGGTGAGTGGGAGGGTGTGTGCGGTGAGCAGCAGGGTGGAGGCGGGACGCGGAGAAGTTGTCCGCGTCGGGGCGGTGCGCACCGACCTCTCCGCGCTACAGGGGAGCGCAGCGCAAAGGAAAATGCTCCGATCTTAACAGRACGTTTGGAGCAGCTCGGAGACAAGAACCTCGTTGTTCTGCATCACTTTTTTTTTGTTCCACCCTGAAGAAAGCACCGCCAGGCGCAGATGTAGCCATGGATTTCTCCGGGAAACTCACCACCGTCCTCCTGCTGGGGATCCTCGCAGTGCAAGGTAAGCCAGCGCCAGATGTTAATGTTCTTTCATYTATTTCTCCTGATTGTCACGACAGTGTGTAAAAATCACATACTTATGTGCTACTAAAAGAAAAACCGAACTGTTTTACTCTCAATTTGGAGGTGGGCTCAGTTCCCTTCAGAAAAACTTTACTTTAGTTCATCGACCAAGCTGGATTTTGTTGATGCAGCGCTGCCTTCTAATAATAATAAAACGGAAAGAGATTCCTCTGGTAGTTCAGGAGCTTATCTTGCAACAAAACAAAGACTGGTCTTCACATTTAAGTTAAAACCAGAGGACTACTCTGATTTTTTGTGCTTAAATATTCACMTCTTCCTGTAGCTCTAAAGTCATTGTTGCTGTGGAGAGTTGCACCCTGTTGTGATCATGCTCCTCAAAAGARGATGTTGATTGATAAGCATAATTGCAGGGGGTTAGGGGGGTTATGACCCAATAATTTGATCCAGCCAATATAACCCCCCTAATAAAAGGACATAATTTGCTCAAACAGAATAGAAATGAACTGATTAAGTAGACAGATGCAACTCTCTTGTTGTCTTTAGGAAACGTTGACCTGATTAAACAATTTACAATGTCATATATGTATGTTTAAGCATGACTGCTGAAAATGATATGCAGTGTTTTAGAGCATAACCTCCCCAATGGTAGACCTAAAGTTAYGCCCTTGTTGGATTATTGCTCATGCATCRGCCCTCAGAGCTGCTGGGAAATGTGAAGCAGCCATTCATGTAAAAACTGACCCAAAGGCTCTGCTGGTGTGTTTCAACAGCTGCAGCTCAGCTCATTCTGAATTCATGCCTCCATCCAGATGTGAGAGACACTTCCACTGATTATCATAAGAAGCAAAGGTTTCTATAGAAGATATTTGTTTCAGTAAAATCTGGATCTGAGTCATCTCTTTGAGTTTTTTTCCATGGGCTTGACTATAGGTCAACTCGGCCCAGGTTCAGTGGCTTTCCATTGGGTGGTCCCACACGTTTTCATTTTTGTTCCAAGGACATTCTTGCAGGCTTTTAACTGGTATTTCAGAAAAGAACAACAACATTTTAAGTAAATCATTACATACCCCCCTACTGTTGAAATTTCCGTAACTTACGGACAAGGAGCAGAGATTGTGGCAACAAAACACACCACCAAGCCTGGTACCAATAATTCTTCACGAGTCTTCCTCTGAYTTCATGAACTTGTGGTGCTCGCTGCTGGATCTGACTCAAAGTTTTGCCAAGACTCAAGGCCCGCCCCTGGCCCCCAGCCTCGCCCTGATTCTTTTTTCCTCCTTAACCACAGAGACAGTCACTCCTTCCCTTTTTCATGGAAAGCAGGCGGTTTGGAGCACAACAGCTCAGGGTGAGAGGGGTTCTGCTTGGCAAAACAYATGGTTCKGCCCATGTGACACAACAACATCATCAYGTGCACTGAGCGTGATGACATGAATTGTTCAACATCATCGGTTCTACGAAACAAACAGCTCRTCGACATCCGGATCCCCTCAGAAAGCCATTCGTCCCATCTCTAGATGAGCGTGAAAGCTGTGCCTCATCCAGAGAAATGTGTGTTCTATCTGGATTTTTTTTTTTGGTTTTTTCGCAAAACCGAAAAAGCCTGGCTCCTCAGCTGAGTTCAGTTAAAGATCTGAAGACTGCAGGTCGCTGRTTGGCTAAAGAGCGCTGTCAGTCATAACATCTTTTTATTTCATAAAWCAAACCCACCAATTTGAAAGCCTCACAACCACAACTTTCACTTTATTTACTTTTCAAAAAGAATATATCTGTTAAATTGGCAACACATAAACCAACACTGTGGTACAACGAGGAGGTGTGTTTCTGTGCTGAAGAGAAGCCCCTTTAGCACAAAAGGTCAAAGGTCAAGGTTAGGAACAGTAGATTACAGTGTGGCCTACAGCAATATAATGGATTCCAGAATACATTTGACTATCTTATTTTTATGTTTCACATCATCATCATTTAAAGGGTCAGGTTTTGTTTTGCACATTTTGTTCTTTTATCCCTCTTTCCCCCTCATCTACCAAAAAAAAAAAAGAAACAACAACAACAACAACAACTCTATTTTGGTTTTGTAGGTTATTGTGGCTCTTATCCTCCTGTGTTCTTTTAAACAGCAGTTTTGTTTCCCAGGGGAATCTGACTAAAATAAAGMATATTTTAAACACTATGATGTCAAACTTTATGCAGAGTTCTCATGCCGGCCCAGTCTYTTGAAATAGCAACAGAAAAGCAAGTCATGTTGAGTGTTTGGCTGTTTTTGCACATCAGGAAGAGATGCTGCCCTGAAGCTTGGTGTCATAAAACAGAAAAGGATCATGTCTGCTGTTAGAGCTACACATCATTTGTTGTGTTTATCTTACATCATAGTGACAGGATGACATGGTGCATTGTAAYAACGGTGACACATGAAAGTTTATAAATTCATAAAATCACATTTACAGGTTCTGTATAAATAATCATGTTGACTGTTGTTTCAGTCATAAACTTTCTACAGATATGAGCTTTTCTAAAAGGCATCTTTATGAAAATATTTAACTCGTTCATCGATGATTGTAAATTTTATTGTAACACTGCAAATTTACTCCAAGGCGGTGTTCTTATGTTTTTAAAACATGTTTGTTCACTATCCAAAACACATTCATTTTATTCATAGATTTTCTCTTTATAAAAYTGACTTTCTGATGTTCAATAAGAACCATTTTAAAAAGCAGCATAAAAGCTAAACTATGTATGGGTAGATTTTATTTAATTTAGTTTTAGTAAAAAAAATTAAGTTTAAATGGTTCCAGAGAAGCTGCTGTCCAGTTTCTTTATTGTTTGAATCTAATTATAAAAAACAAATGCTACAGATTTCATGTTTGTCCATGTAGAGTCTTACCAGACATCCATCAAGACAATGTAAAAATAAAATGGTAATATTAAAATAATAAAAAAAATAAAGTTAGTAGTTACAAACTTCAATTTGGAAAAGGAAAATAATAAATAAAAAGAGTTATACAGAGTTTTAATTATTCAAATACACCTGTTTTGGTGATYGTTGATTTTATTTTTTACAACCTTTGAACACACAAGGTTATGGGAAGTTGTGCAGGCCCCCCAGATTGGGAACCACTAACATTGGGTATAGACGGCAGGTCATCCATCCATCCATCCATCCATCCATCCATCCATCCATCCATCCATCCATCCATCCATCCATTTCACCCACTTCTTCCTTTCCTGGTGGCACTGGTACTCGTGTCCAGCAGTCACTGAGCGAGACACCAGGTTCAGGTGATCATGTAAGAGCTTAACTTTTATTAATACAATAGAAAACATGGCAGCAGAAGAAAACAGAGCAAMTAATTCAGAAACAAAACAACATGGATGCAAGAAACCAAGCTGAAGCTAAAARGAACAATAAGATCAAACAAGTCATATGAGCATCAACTGGCTCTTTGAACAGAGAGGGGGGAATATTTTGCATTAACTTTGTCTGAACAGTAAGATTTAAACTACAGGTACATGTTCTGATGCTGAGCATGGACCAGAAAATGATGTCAAGGTGTAAAAAGTCATGATGTTAAAACCTCTAATTTTTTCCCACATGCCATTTTTAAGGAGTAAATCAAGATATAACAGACATTATTTTGTACTTCTTGTTCTCAGCTGTCATTCAGATGTGTTCGTTAGCCGAGGGGGAAATTTTATTCTTGTTAAAGTAAAAACAAAAGTTGTTCAGTTAAAGTGCCAATATTATGTGTTTCTCAGGCATACATTTAAATACTATACCATAATAAAGTATCWATGTCACCTTTAGCTGTTATTAAAATGCTGTTTTTATGTTTAAATAGAAAATAAACTTATCTTCTCATCACTTCCTCTTCTAAACGCCTTGAAATTGGCCTCTGTCTCTTTAAGAACCACCTTCTGTTTCCGTTTTGCCCATTTCAGTGCGGGAAGGGGTTCGCGCTCGGGAGAGGGAGGGATTGGGGCTGCTATGATCCAGTTTACTTGGCATCTGAAAATACATTTCCTYAAATGTATTTTTAATCTGAAAAGAGCTTCACTGAGTGTCAACTAATGTTAGGAGCTCAGCAGACAGTTTAAGTTTCACTTTCGGTTTTCCACCCGAAAGCCTGCAGGAGTCATGGGCGGGTTGTGTGTGTGTGTGGGGTTGGGGTGGGGGCTCTGCCATGAGGAAGCTCGGCTTAAAGATGCATCCCAGAGGCATTTCTGGTACCAAAAGGCGTTTCTGGTCCCCACCTGTCGTTTTGCTCCTCAGCATGGCTTCCTAAAAACGCTGCAAGATTTCTCAAACATGCATGAATGAGTCAAAGCAAGGCTTTGGGCATGTTTTTTTAATGAGAGTATAATATGATAAAATGATTTAAAAATCAAAAAAGTTGATTTTACATGATATTGCCCCTTTAACACAATCAATCATGTTCCTTTTTGCCAAAGTAGCAGCAACATCCTCTATTTTCAAGGTGACGCTGTTTTGAAACAAACATTTCAAGCTACAAGAGTTAGCATGTTACCAAGTGTGATTTACAATCAACACTGACTTGTCAGGATCTCTATGTTACTTCACAAAGTGCAGTATGGCAAAGATGAACTAATATTATGCACGCTTAGCAATATCACTTTAGATCAATAAATTGATTTGGTGCTTGTGTGTACCTCTTAGAGCTGATAAAAGGAAGAGGAAATCATTTTCTTTATTTTATTTACAAGCCAAACACGGGTAGATTACAGTCAACCAAACATAAAACAGTCTCTTAAAGGGGGAAACTTTAGCATTTTATTGGCACAAATTGTGTTATTTAGCTGCTGTAGCTGTTTTCAACATTGCCATTGATGACATTACTGTGGGCTCTATGCTGTCGTTACTGTTTTAGCACTTGTACAGTGTGACAGGGTGGCTTATTTGTGGCAACATGATCATCATTAGCAAACCTTCCCATCTGCCACTGCTCGGCGCATTTTATT